TTGGTGCTTTTCATCTGGTCCCGTATAAATTTAATCTAGATCTGACCAGTAGTTTTTGAGGTATTCTTTATAATGCATAATTAATTGACTTCGACCACATTGATTATATTCTCATTTTATTTATATTGAAGTCGGTTGTACAAAATTTTTCATTTTACCACATGTATCATTATGTTATTATATTCGCGAGGCTAAAGGATAATTGAAATGAGAGTGAAAAATCTTTTTTGGTTTACCGTCGAATAAAGTAAACAAAACACTAAATATGTTATTCCTCACGGCGTTCGCCGCCGAGCACGGAGTAGATCAGCATTAAACGTTCTGGAAAGGCTTTTTAAAACCCGTACTTAATTTCTACATATTAGGTCTTTACCTATGAAATTGCGGTTTTTAGAAAATGAGTTAACGTAATTTTTTCTCTATGTCTAATTTATTTCTATTAATGAAAGTAATGACCCATGCAAACGACGTATCTTTGTTAATGCATTGGCAGTTTATTGATGCCCTTGTTACCTGTATGCGCAGTACCAGGTGTACCCAGCTAGGTCAGGCAAATAATCACATACCTGCTTAAAGATCAGACTGATACCTTTTTTTTATATATATAGAAGAGGGGGCAAACGAGCATGCGGCTCACCTGATGTTAAGTGACTACCGCCGCCCATGATCAACCGCAACACCAGGGGAATTGCAGGTGCGTTGCCGGCCCTTTAGAAAGGAGTAAGCTCTTTTCTTGAAGGTTCCCAGGTCGTATCGATCCGGAAAAATTGCCGGTGTTAAACTATTCCACAGAGAGGTTGTACGCGGAAGAAAACTCCTTTTGAAACGTACAGTGGTGGACCGCCAAGCATCCAGATGGTGTGGATGGTATCGGGACGTTTGCCGCGTAGTGTGTTCACGAAATTTGGCGGCTGGGATTAATCCTAACAATTCCTCAGAGCACTCTCCATGGTATATGCGAAAGAAAATGCAAAGGGATGCAACATCTCTTCGCAGTGCCAGTGAATCGAGCCGATCGGAAAGCACTCGGTCATCGACGATTCGAGCCGCTCTGCGCTGGATGCGGTCAAGTGGAAGGAGCTGGTACTGGGGAGCCCCAGCACAGAGATGGGAACAGTATTCCATGTGTGGCCGAATCTGCGCCTTGTAAAGTTGCAGGCGGTGTGTCAGACATGAAATACTGTCCTGCTCTGCTGAGCACGCCAAGCTTTTTAAAGACCAATTTGGCCTTCCTTTCCAAGTGACCACGAAACTGCACGCCACTCGATATGTCGATGCCGAGGATTCCGATACTGGCTGAGGCAACAAGGGGAGTGCCTTGAAACTGAGGGGATACGACAAAGGGGTTCTTTTTAGCGGTTAACGCGCAAACTTGTGTCTTCTAGGGGTTAAACTGGACTAGATTTATTCGCCCCCAATCCGAGACTCTGTTCAGCAAAGACTCGACTTCAGACACAAGTTTGTTCCAGCACTCGGTGACGTTTTCCCGAGAAATATTGGCTCGACCGGTGTAAAGTGCATCACCAGTGCTGTCATCTGCATAGCAATGAATGTTACGGGTTTGCAACATATCATTGATATGCAGAAGAAACAGCGTTGGTGATAGCACGCAGCTCTGTGGAACACCAGCATTAATAGGCTTGCAATCGGAGCTTGCACCGTCTACAACGACCTTGATTCTCCGATCTGCAAGAAAGCTGGTGATCCAATCGCACAATTTCTCGGGAAGCCCATAGGAAGGGAGCTTCAAAAGAAGCGCTTTGTGCCAAACCCGCTCGAAGGCCTTCGCAATGTCCAAACTAACGGCCAATGCCTCCCCCTTGGACTCTACTGCCTCCGCCCATCTGTGAGTTAGGTAGACCAGAAGATCACCAGCTGACCGACCACGACCCACACCTTCTTTTCTTAGAGATTTCACTTCATAAAAAATCCGTCATGAGCTCTCGGACCATCAATAAAATAGTTATTTGGTGGTTTTCAAAGTCAATATTCGGGAAAATATGCAGTAATGCTTATCCCATTTCGTAACATGCTGTGATGAATCATATCGGTGCCAGACCACTAAACAGTGGTCATCACTTTTCTAGGGGTAAGTTTTCATTTAGGGCACTGTTTATGTGCTGAATCAGGATCAAACCAACTTGTAGAGCGCTTGCGATTGTCAAACAGAATCCATTTTCCTTCGCAGGCAACAATGCCGTTTAAAATCCCTTCGTTTGTGTCTCATTCAATCGCTCATTGTGTTCGTGGGGAACCCGTTTGTCAATCTTTTTTACCTTACCAATTTAATGCAAATGGACCAATATTGTTTTTATACTAACATCGAAAGCTGCTACTAATTCAGTCGTTGATTGAGTATCATCAGCTTCCACAATCGTCTTTATTTCGTCAATGTCACCCAAAGTTTTCGGACGATCACGGGGTTCATTTTTCAGGTCAAAATTTTCGGAACGGAAGCGAGCTAACTAATTACAGGTGGTGCGTTCGTTTGTAGTATTTGCTCTGTAGACAACGTTGATGTTGCGCGCCGCTTATACCGCGTTGCTTCCAGGACGGCCACGATAGGAACTGTAATGTCTGACCATTGCATGATTATACTCTCGTGAGTAGGATTTGACCAAACACAAACATAGAATGATATAAAAATAATCCAATAGATAGATAATTATAAAATTATTTTTTTCATTAATTAAATTAAAAATTAAAGAGTGTTATGATTGCATCAAAAATGAATTTAGTGATTTTTACAATCAATCAAAATATATCCGAAAAATTGATAAAATCAGTAACAGAAATAAGATATTATGCCTGAAAACAGGACAAATTAATCATCAAATGGGAAAATTATTGTACAGAAAAATAACTATTATAAGATGAGAGTATAATAAATTCACAAATAAGACACATGAAATAAATATTATGCGTAGCAAATAAATAGTAATAAAATTAATCTTAGAAATATATTGCAAATTTTGAATACACTATTTGGTCGAAACAAAAACTCAGTTGACGAGCCAATGTTAAAAGCATTTAATAAAAACAATATTGACACAAAATCAATAGAATAACTTCCAAGAGAATTTAAAAATTGCGTTAAATATTACTTTAACCAATGGCTTCTAGATGACTTAGAATGTATGTTCTCCAAAAATAATATAAAAGAACTTCCACCAAAAGTGTGACGAAGATTGTAAAAAACCTTAAAACCAGTAAAGCTGCTGGTATGGATAACATTCGATGTGTCGACATACAATCTATCTGTTATAAGATTGAAGATTATAAGAGTTGTTGTCAAATTAATTAAGAATAGTATAGATGTATAAGCATACTACCCAGCTAAATTAAAAATAGGTTTTGTGAGACTGATATATAAAAAAGGCCGTCACAGTGATTATGCCAATTATAGTTCTACCAGTCATTGACAAAATAGAAGAAATATACGTTTGTAATCAGATACAAGACTTTTACATTAAAAATGACATCCTATCAAACTCACAAGACAGTTTTTTTCGAGCGTTTGATATGCTTCGAAACGTTACACCCTTAACAAAACTGGATAATTGTGGACGGGGCCCAATTTTTGATCGGAGCAAAGACTACCTCAATAATCGGAAATTTAAAGTCAAAATCTCTGACGAAGTCAGTGACAATATCGATGTTACTGAAGGAACAGCTCAAGCATCGGTGCTTGGAACCCTGCACTGTTTAGCATATGTCAACGATATGGAGCATATTGTCAACCACTGTTCCGTTTATCAATAAGTCGACATGCATTTTGGCTACCAGTAAGAATATAATAGAAGTAGCACAATGGCTGCAGCAAGATTTTAAGCAGGTGTCCATATGGTCACATGGTGCGGGACGTCTTGAATGCAACTAAAACTAAAATCAATCTATAAAATCTCTCTCTATAAAATCTGCACAAGAGCCACGTTGCAGCTATATTAAGGTTGTAGCAAGAATGGATTGGCTCAACCGGGAAAGGATCATACTCTCACGGAATACCAGCGTAAAATAGCTGCTTAATACTGTTGTGTTTCGTATTGTGAGTGTAGAGACCCTTTTTTACCCGAAACGAGACATTACGTCGTAGTCCCCAAGGGTGACAATGCATTTACGTTTTGATTCTTAATCGAGGATACATGTAGATGTCTATGGACCACATAATCTACTTACCATCAGGTGGACTGTGTGCTCGTTTGTCACCCTTATTGTATGAAAAAAAATCTAACGCTTGTAAATGTGAGGCAAACGAACAAGTAACGCATCACACTTACTTAGGATTAATTGTAGAGAATGAGCGCTCAGATCGGTTGTGCTCAATTCCGGGTTGTCCCATGTGAGAATTGTAAATGGATACTTACCACATACACAATAAACGAGGTATATTTAAATTTATATTTTTGATTACTTTTAACAAATTAACTAATTTTTTAATGTAAAGCAGTGCATTAATTGCGAATGTGAGTACCAATACAAAACATCATTGGTTCAATGGTATAAATCAAGGAATATGTGTAAATACATGTTTAATTATTATTTTAAAATATAATTACTCGAATTTTTAACGTATCCATGATGACGAACCAGATTCAACTAGGATGAAAACATAACGCTACTAAATGAATAATGAATAATTTTGAAAAAAGAATTCCATATTTTTAAATCAAAATTTATTTGAAATAAGAAGTCTTAGCCAAATAAAAATTATTTTTATTCGAAATGGCCAGTACTGTAGACCGGCAATTTCTTTGGTAAAGACCTATCATTATATATACGTAAGATATCCACAAAGTTCACATGTCGCTTTTCGGACTTTACGTTATATTTTACTAGATTAAAATTATTATTGTAAATAACTCATTTTATATTTCAGCTTCAGTAGTTGGAGTGGCCGGAATCCCTGGCTTTTTCATATCCTCTATCCTCATGGATTGGGGAGGTAGGAAGACGGCGCACGCTATAATCATGATACCTGGTATTTTGGGCTGGCTGTTCATTTACTTAGCTGCCAGTTTAACTTCACTTATTGCAGGAAGATTATTCACTGGGTTTACGGGTGGTGCTTCAGTATGTCTAGGAGCAGTGGTTATTGGAGAATATTCGAGTCCTAAAAATAGAGGCACTTATTTAAATTTAAAAACAGCCAGCGTATGCTTGGGGGGCATGATGATTCACATCCTAGGAAATTATTTTCACTGGAGAACTGTTGCATTTCTATCATTGTTCCCGTATATTATTTCCCTCATCATAATTTACACTTGGCCTGAAAGTCCTGCATGGTTAGTTTCAAGAAAAGAATTTGAGAAGAGTGAAAAGGCGTTTTACTGGTTGAGAGGACATAGTGAAGAAGCTAGAAAAGAATTATATGAACTAATCAGAGCTCAAAATAATAAATCAGTTGATATAAAAAACAACAGTTTCAACGAGAAAGTTGTTGAATTTTTAAAGAAATTTACGAGGAAAGATTTCGTGAAACCAGTAATCATAATAGTATTTAGCGCGCTGCTGATTGAATTTTCTTGCCGACATATTTTTCCCGCATATGCATCACAAATTATTGGTGAAGTAACAGGAGACAAATCTCAATCGTTTTATTATACATTAGCTTTAGATATAATTATAACGACCAGCGCTATATTTTCCTCGGTATTGGTCAAAATTTACAAACGTCACACTCTTCTATTTGTTACTGGTTTTTCGGCTTTGTTTTTTTTATTTAGTGTATGCACCTACCTTTATTTAGTATCTAAAGCAATAATTTCTAATAATTATACTTGGATACCAATATCATTGTTTGTACTGTACTTTATATTGACCAATTTGGGGTGTACACCGATTCCTCTAGCTTTATTAGGTGAAGTGTTACCTTTAGCTCACAGAGGTTCTGGATCAGCTCTTTCAGGTCTTGCGATGTCTCTCATTCTTCTAATAGCACTCAAAATTACACCGTACTTACTCGAAAGTGTCAAAGTTTATGGAACATTCACTGTCTTTGGATTAGCTATGGGCTTAACTCTAGTAGTGTTTTATTTTATACTACCCGAGACAAAAGACAGAACTTTGCAGGAGATTGAAGACTATTTCAATTATGGAAGATTTAAGAACGAGGAAAAACTCAGTAACGACGAAGATGTTGAAATGAAAATGATTAATTGAACAGACTTCTAGTTTATCGATTTTTAATACAAAAAAATTATCTATCTTTTAATAAGGATAACTATTATCTTACAATGATCAAGCTAGTCAAGCATTTAGGCATTCAGTTTTATCAGGAGACATGTAATTATAATTTAAAAATATTTTAAGAAAACATTTATCTTTGCATATTATACTACCCAATTCACATATGACGCAATGAGGTGTCACAATATTAAATTGCGGCAGCCAGTTGTGTAATATAATGTAATGTGTACTGATATATTATTACACAGCATCTCAGTGCTACCACAAGCCAACGCTGCGGTTAAATACGAGCTGCACTGAAATTGCTTAGCTCTAGCCTCATAGTACAGTAAAAATAGAATTTAACTTTGCACTAAATTTCCAATCCAGTTTTTATTTTTTGTTCAAGTCCTTCTATTTTTTAATCTCTTGATCTATCATGTGGGAAGGAATGGAATGGAATGTAATTGGCGGTTTAATTTTATTTTGTTTAGTTATAATTAAATTTTTCGGCTGATAAATTTATTTTACTAAATACAGATATATTGTTGTAGTGTATTTTTATTTGTTGAACTTCTTTCAATTAGATTCATTTTAGTCCAGCTTTATTTGCACAGCTTAGTTGACTGCCTCGTTAATCTAGTGATCGTAAAATTGATTGCTGATCATGCGGTCCCGGATTCGGATCCTGGTTCGGGCCAAAATCAGTTAGTGGATTTTTCTATCAAGTAATTCCCAGCACTGTCTGATTGCCTCGTTGGTCTAGTGGTTGTCATCAGTACGACTGCTGATCATGACGTCTTGGATTCGAATCGCGGGTTCGGACAAAAAACTAATTATTGAGTTTTTTCGTCAAGAAATTCTCAGTAGTTGCCCGGAGTCAGGACGTTGGCGGTGTCTCAGCCCCGTGCCTCGGAAAGCAATCGGATTATGAGAGTGAGGGAAGAGAGAGTGCACCTGTGCTCCGTCCTACGCAGAAGGCTAGTCTCCGTTGAGACTGACCGCCGTGATCAAAATTAGGTTTGGAGAACATTTATATTACTATTACTGACACACTGAGGTTTGCGAAATTTTTTTGTAGATATCGCCATTATCAATATGTTATGATTGAGGTGATGTAATAACCTAAATTTTATAAACAAAATAACTTACGATGAACGATTTGTGTTGCTAGAGACCTTCGTTTTAATTTGACTTTATCCAATATATGTCATAAGAATCGGATTAATCTTTCATGATTATTCGTAAACGTACCTAATATAAAGCTAGTAGTGTTGGCCAAAATCCGTCTTGGTCCTGCAGTCTTGGTCTTGTTCTTGCATTATTGCAAGACCAAGACTGACCGCGCAAGATTTGAGCAAGAACAATACTAGGCCTGCGAGACTCCTGCGTCTTGCAGTTAGGACTGAGTGTCACTTCAGGGAGTATAGGAGTTCGGGTATACGCTTAGGGACTCTATGAGACGCAAAAAAATGTATAAAAAATTGGACTTATGCGCATTACGAAAAATACCATAAACATAGCGAATGAAAATATCCATTAAAAGAAAAAAGAGTGCATCCCTGGTCTTGACGGATAATGGTCAAGACTTGTCGGCCTCATCAAAGTTCGGATACTGACCTGTCAAAGAAATTTTACAGCTATTCGGAAGTACAAGATCAAGGTCAAGGCCAATACAACCGCCGGCGGCTTCTATTGATATCGCATATAAATAGTCGCCGCCGCGCCGCACGCACAACATTTGACACTGATTGATTGCCGCCACAGAGTACATATATCTCAGAATGAACACGAATACATTATGCTGATCTCGTAAGGAATTATGTCTTTAAATAATGGTAATGATAGGTAGATATCATAATAATTTATTCTAGTAAGTAATTATTATTATATTAACTATATGGGTTTATAATAATTACTTTCTATTGTTATTATTATTACCTAATACATAAACATATTCAATAAGTTTACTGCAAATCTCGATTTTTGGAAGTGTTACCCATTTCTAAAATATTGTACACATTTAACACACTCGAAACGAGTAAACATTTATACAATGCTAATCAAATAATATAAAAAGGGTCCATATAAAATAAAAGGCGTGCAATAAAATCTATGTACCGCTGAGGAGCCCGAGTATCTCTGAGATAACTGTTTAAGGAACTTGATATCTTCACTGTTGCATCACAATATAATTTTGCAAATATCATGTAGGTATGTACGACAAAACATTCAACATGTAAAGAATAGCGATTTACAGAATGTTAATAGTAGAAATAGAAATAAAATCACATTACCTGCTTTCCGGTTACACAAAGTTTACAAATTCGTTCTTGGGTAGCGGTATCCTATACCTTTAAACGAGCAATTCTTGTATATATATATATATATATATATATATATATATATATATATTATAAATAAAATAAAGTCTACACCAAAATAAAGTCTACACTCAGTGAATAAATCTATATAATCACCAAGAAAGGAAAAGAAATTATGTGAATATGATGAAGACGAAGACGTAATAGACTGAGAAACTGTATGCGTATCCCTCGACGTCATCTGGATTTTGTCTTCAAGGCTTAGTTATTGACGAGTTGGAGGAGTACCTAAGTAAACCCAGAGCCTTGAGCCCAGCTCGGAAGATATTTTAGAGTGGTGGAGACAGAGTATCCAACTTTATTGAAAATGGCCCGTGATTTTCTATCAATACCTGCAGCCTCAGAACTTGCTGAGAGATTATTTTCTAAAGCATCATTAGTAATAATTAGAAAACATAGAAATAGGTTAAGTGATCAGTCAGCTAGATGGTTACTTTGTATTAATTCTTGGTCAAAAGAATTAATATAAAGTAACAGTAATATCAAAGCTATTGTGTATTGTTATGTAATTCAATTTGAATTGTATTTTAATTTTTATTTAAATAAATGGTAAATTTTATAAATTGTATAACTTTTTATTCCATTTCATATAATCTGCCTAACTACTGATCTCTTTCTAGACAAAAAATGTTCTTTAAAATCAAGTTAATGTCATTAATTTGTTTTTTATATGTTTTAACCATGTTTTAGCACATGTAAGCTTTTTAAATGTAAACATTTATTAAGAAACAAACTGGTATGGTAGATAGCTCAGTTGGTTAGAGCATCGGCACGGATCGCTTAGGTCGTGGGTTAAAACCCCACCCGGTGTCAGTTGATTTTACGAATTTCTCATTAAATGTTTAGATATTTATTAATTTATTATGGCTATGTTAATGTAAGTTTAAAATGTACCTACTCTGTTAAGTTATCCTAAGATCTAAAGTAACGTTTAATAAATAGCATTAGGCTAATAGGTAATTGTGAGACTTGCGAGACTCTTACTGCAAGACCAAGACCAAGACTGGGAGCGCAATAATACCAAAGCCAAAACCAGGTGTATTGGCGCAAGACCAAGACCAAGACTGGCTAAATTTCGTCTTGTTCTTGCATTTGGGCAACACCAAAAGCTAGGGAGATGGCAGTGGGGGGATATACAACGTCTACGTGGCGCAGTGGCTTAGCAATGAGTTGCTGCGCTAACGGCTGCGAGTTCGAGTCCCGCAAGTAAAAAGCATTTGTATGTGTGTTCTACTAATAACTGTTCTGGGTCTGAATCTTTGTCTCTATGAAATTCATGTAATATTATATACACATATTATGTAAACTGCCACCACGTTACAGGAGGAAATCCTATTATGGAGGTATATAATATTTAAAAAAGAACTTCTACGAAATTCAATCCAAATCCAAAAATAATGACAAATCTATTCTGGTCCAGCTGGTGCTAGCCCCCTTGTGAAAATACGCTTCACCGTTTTCCTAACGATTATTTTGATATAAATCAGTACTTTATACATGATACGTGACTGGGTGATCCGGCTGCAGACGTGCCCTCCACTTCACGGCTCGGCCCAGGTTG